AACCCACCCGCCCCGCCCTCGCTCCTCCAGGGCCGCCGCCTAATTGGCTGTGACAGCTCGAGCCCTGGCAGCTGAGCGGTGTCACCGCGAATTAGGCGGGCGCTGAGCCCGCCGACAGCAAATTATTGTCATGGCTCCGCGGGTGCAGGGACCTGAGTGAGTGTGTGTGCACGAGCGTGGGTGAGTGTATGTGCACGGGAACCTCTGAGTGGTATGCGCATGCGCGTGAGCATGTGTGGGCCTGTGTACATGTATGAACGGCACATGTGCATGAAGCATGTCAGTGCGTGTGAGCTGTGTGCGAGCATGTGAGTGTGAGCCCGTGTGAGTGTGGACATGTGTGCATGAGCTGAGGAAGTGTGAGCCAATGTGAGCATGTGTAAACATGTATGTGCATACACGCGTGAGTGTGGACATGTGTGCATGAGTGCGAGGGTGTGCATGTGTGTATCCACATGTGAACGTGTGCACAAGCTGAGGAGGTGTGAAGGTGTGTGCATGTGCAAGCCTGTGTGAGCATGGATGTATGTGTGGGCATGAGTTTGCACCTGTGTGTGTCCACGTGTGAATGTATGCATGAGCTAGGGAAGTGTGATGCAGTATGAGTGTGTAATTGTGTGTGCGTGTTGAGCAGTTGTGTGAGCATGGATGTGTGTGAGTGGTGTGTGAGCATGTGTAAACATGTGCACGTGAGCAGTTGTGTGAGTGTGCATAAGCGTGTGTGCATGAGCAGCTGTGTGAGCTGGTGTGAGCAGGCGCCCACCTCGCCCAGGTTAGCTGGGCTCCCACTGTCCCACATCCCACTTGCTCTCCAGATCCCTGATGAGCAGACTCCTGGGCCTGCCCACCCAGCTCACCGTCCCTCCCTCACCCCACCGCCTGCTCCCTGCCGGCGGCCCTCCATCCCATGCCCTTCTGGGGACCCAGGCCAGTGCCCCCTCCTCTCCTCCTTGTTCTTGTCCCAGGACAGCTCTACACTCCCCACACCGTCTCTACTGTGACTCCACTGGGTACCACCCCAACCCCAGCCCTCCACCCCACGACATATCCGCCCTGGGCCCCCGTCTTGGCCCCCATCCCAGCCCCTCTCCCCACAGTCGTCCTGTCACAGGCCGGTGCCTCATCCTAACGAGGCCCTAACCCTTGGGATCTCACGCCCTCACCTTTGACCCACAGGCCAATCCAGACCCTGTCTCCAAGGAGTCCCCACAGTGGACCCCCGGCCCACGAGGTGTTGTTGGCACTGCTACCGGGGGACCCGCCCTGCCTGCCTCCCCTTCAAGCCCAGCTTGTTCTCACCCCCAGAATGCAGCAGCCCACCAGCCCCCACCCTCACTCCTCTGCTCCCTGACCCTGACCTGGGGCCTGGGCCTGGACTGGGCTACGCCAGCACCTCCCACCAGAAGCAGCCGGCCAATTGGTCTGGGAGCTTACAGCCATGTCTGCTCTTCCATTGTGGTGTTGTTACATATGGTCGAGTCAGACCCGACTCATCGCAAGCCCTCCTTGGGTTTCCGAGGCGGTATCTCCACAGAAGTAGATCGCCCAACCTTCCTTCCATGGAAGAGTGGCTGGTGGGTTTGAACCGCCAGCCTTCTGGTTAGCAGTCAGGTGCCTTAGGCACTATGCCACCAGAGCTCCCTGCTCTTCTGTACCTCACCAAAAACCCAAACCAACCCACTGCCACTGAGTCACAGCGAGCTTCAGGGCAGAGTGGAGCTGCCCACAGGGTTCCTAAGCTGTGAACCTCTACGGAAGCCGACTGCCTCATCTTCCTCCCACAGGGTGGCTGGTGGGCTGAGCTTTGGGTTGGCAGCCGAGTGCTTCAACCTCTATACCACCAGGGCTCTGGCCCAGCACCCAGTAGGCACCTTGTCAATATTTCTCAGTGAATGAATCCCCTCCTCCACCAGGGCCGATCAGGCTTTTGCCCGGGTCCAGTGGTCGGGGCTTGGGGGACCTCATGGGGGTGGGGGCTCGTTGGGCTTGAAGCTGTAAGAGTAGAGGCACTGGGGACCCCCCTTCAAACCTCCAGTTGGGCCTGCCCCTTGCCTCCCAGCCTCCTTGGCCAGCATCTCTGTGGCCTGGAACTGCTGACCAAGCAGCTGGAGCCAGAGGCCTGCATCAAAGGACAGAGCCGAAAGGGCCTGCCAGCTGGGAGCCCTTCCCTGTCCCGCTGTCCCCTCAAGTCCTGGGTGGGGGGCAGCCTGCCACCTCCATGGCCAGTTGGAAGCCCCACTTGTCTCCTTCCCACAGGAGCTGACTTGGGGGACTGAGCCCGGTGGAGGCCCTGGGCCAGAGGGTGCGGAGGCGGGGACTGAGGGCTGGGGGCCCGTGTGTGCCTGTTGATGGCGTCCCCGAGTCCACAGGTGTCTCTGTGGGGTCACTCATGTGTGAGGTCTAGATGCTCCATGTGTGGCCCACTCACTGTGCATGTGCATGTCTGTCACACACGTGGTCACACTCGATCTTGTGTGTCCATGAGTGCGCCCAGTCTGCCTGGCAGCAAACACGTCCTTGTACACGTGCATGTACGCTTGGTCTGTGCCTGCATTCATACACGCATCCCTGCGGGAAGGTGGGGAAGAGGTTTGGGCTTTTCCCGGCCCCAGTCTCAGAGCCAACTGTAAACAGCTGGTAAGGAGGCACCTGGCAGCCACTTGGCTGCTGGAGGGGGGCTGCCGAGGGCCAGGGCTGGGGGAGGGGCCGGGCTTGGCCCTGGCCGGCCTGCCACACCCCAGCCCTGCACCACACCATGCCCCTAGCCTGTCCCAAGCCAAGCCAGGCCGCTGCCTGAGCCTCCTGGGCCGGTTGCTTTGATTGCTGGAAGGCGGGCAGTGGGGCAGCAGCACGGGCTGTGTGGGGGCGGGGCCTCTGGGCCTGGCCAGGTGAGGCCCTGCTGAAGCAGGTGGAGCAGGGAGCAGGCTGTCCTTCCCCCAGGGGGTGGCCTGGCCAAGGGCAGGGGAGCACTCGGCTCCGGCAGCCTCCTTGGGCTGGGGGCTGGTGGCCTTGCAGGAGTGACCAGAGGCGAGGGTCCTGACCTGCCCTCCTAGGTCCCGATACAACTAGAAGACGGGGTTGTGGGTGCGGAGTGACCACCATGTTACACAGGCAGGCGCCAGCCACTGCAGCTGAGGTTGCCGCGTGGGAGAGTGGGTGTGTTTGTGTGTGGGGGAGTGTGGCTGTGTGTGTGTGTGAACATGAGTGTGTGTGTGAAGATGTGTATTCGTGTGTGTGTGTCTGTGGGGGGGTCAGGACAACTCTGACGTCCCCAGGCCCACCCAGTCACAAGCATGTGCACCCCACGACCCCACAGGTCTCCCTCTGAGGTCCGGGAGTGAGACTGCCAGGCAGCACCCCTGTGCTCTGCTGGATCAAGGTTCAAGCCCAGGGAGGTGAGGGCCCTCACGGCCTCCAGGGCACCCCCACCTGCTCAGAGAGGGGCCCCTGATCTCCCGGTTAACACTGCACACCCCAAACCTCAAGCCCCGACCTCCTTCCCTCTCCAAGCCACTGCCTGATTGGGTCCACCGGGCCTGGCAGGACTTAGGAGGAAGCAAACCCGGCCAGTGGAAGGGGCAGCCCAGGCCCGGATGGCCGGTCAGGAGTGTCCAGCCCCAGTGGGAGGGGCGGGCAGGTAGGTGAACAGGGGGTGGGATGATCCCAGGGCCAGAGGGTGTCGTGACTACTTCCTTGAACAGCCGGCAGGGAGGCCTGGCCGCACCTTGCAGGGCAGGCTCTGGTCAGGGTCTGGGGCTCTGAGCTGCGGGCTCATCCTGCAGACTGGACACAGTGGCCAGGACTGCCCCAGGGCCTGCGTCCACAGCCACCACCCAGCTCTCCCTCAGCCTATAGCCCAGGGGCTATGATCCAAGCACCATGGGGCTGCCACTGTCCCCAAGACAGCCACACAGACAGACACACATACACATACCCCCCCACACACACAGAGACACAGACGGACACACAGCCACAGACACGTACACAAAGATACACACGCACGCAGACACACAGACAGGCATACAGATACACCCCCAGACACCCAGACATCCATGCACAGTGCACACTATGAATACAGTCAGCCGGCCACACGGACACAGAGATACAGAGACACACACCCACATACAGACACGCGGCACACACGCAGAGGCAGGTCCCCAGATGCCCATGAGCCCCCCACTGCCTGCAGATGCCCACTGCCCCTGCCCTCCCTGGCCCAGGTGAGCTGGGCGTTCTAAGGACTCCACATTTCATGCCTACCCCCACTGGGAACCAAGCCCTGGGGTGCCTGGTGCAGTCCTGTCCCCACCCAGGCCTGGCTGCAGTCGGCCAAGAGCCATGGCCACTGTCAGTGGGACAGAGCCTTCCTGAGGACCAGTGCTCCTCGGCAGGGAGCCTGCCTGGGTGGGAACGGAAGCTCCTGGCTCCAGAACTGCTGGCTCCGGCGGCTGCGGCAGGAGGCTGGGGAAGGCGGCTGGCGACAGCTCCCGAGCAGAGGACACGCACAGAAGGCACTCTCCCAAACCGCTGCTCTTCCCCAAAGAACGGAGTTGCTGGACCCCCAGATGCTTTTCAGCAAAGCTCTGCCCCCCAATAATTGCTGTGCTCCCCACATTCGCTCTGCTTCCTTTGTCTGCCGCATCTTGTCCGAGAGGAAAATGACGCAAAGAAAAACTTCTGAAAGTGAAATCAAACCCGGCCGCCGACCCGCAGCTCTACCTGGACCCGGCCGGAGCTGCGGAGCCAGTCCGAGCTGCTGCCCACCCAGGAAGCACGCTCCTCGGAGCGACCGGCCTTTCTCGGCAGGTGCCGGCTCCGGCAGCCTGGAGCTGGGCATCTCCGCGCCTGGCGCGCAGGAGGCCCTCTGTGAGCCCCGGCTCCCACCCCCAAACCCCGCCAGCCAGTCCCCGGAAACACTCCATCCGACAGGCTCCTGCGGGCTGTGACAGCAAGAAGGAGGGTGTCCGGGCCCCTCTTCTCGGGACTCTCTGAAGAAAGAGCTATGAAAACAAGCCGGGCTCGCGCTCGGCCCTCAGCGGCAGGGCGTCCGGCAGCCTCTGCGGAGGCCTCCCCGCTGTGCGCCCCAGGGGCCCGCGCCCATGAGCGCTCTTCCGTGAACTCTCCCCTGCCCCACGCTCCTCTCCGCAGCCCGGCGCCTCGCTCCCTGCCTGGGGGATTTGGGATTTTGCTCAAATCTCTGTGGAGGCTCAACCCACTTGCTCTAACTTACCCTAAAGGAGAGAGAGAAAGGGAGGGAGGAAAGGACAGATGGACGCACAGAGACAGACAGACACGGGAGGCGGCGGGGACAGGGACGGACCTGGCTTTGCCCGCGTTTCTGCGTGGAGACAGTGACACAAACTCGGGCTACTCGCGCCACGCGCCGTGTCCCAGGCCCCAGGCAGGAGGCAGCGCGGCCCGGAGGACCGCAGCCCCGGCCCGCGGACGAAACTGCCTGGCCAGCGTTTTCGCAGGAGGCCTCTGCAGCCGGCGAGCCCTCTCGCTCCAGATTTGCAAAGCAGGAGCCTTCTCGCGAAGGGCAGTCAACTAAAAGCCGGGCCGCGCCGGGCCTGGAGGGTGAGTCCAGATGCAAGCCCTTCCCCTCCGCGGGCCCTGGTGGGGGACGCCACCGCGGATGCACCGCGCTGCGCCGGGGTCGCCACCAAAGATGCCCGGAGCCGCAGCTGCCAAAGCTGGCTTCTTGCGCGGGACAGAGGCCACCCCCGGATCTCGCACCCAGTGCAGTGCGGCCTGTGTACCCAGGTCTGAGCGCGCGGGCCGGTGCCTCCCGCTCAGTCTCTCCTGGTCAGCCTCCCCAGGGGCCTCTCCCCAGCCGGGGGCTTCACGCAGCGCCCAGGCAGGGCCAGGTCAGGGCCTTTTTTTTCCCGTCGGGGAGAAACATGGCGCAAAGCAGAAGCCACGGACAGAGCAGTCAGGCTCCCGACCGGTGGATCTCGACGCATTTATTTTGCTTGTACTTTTCCTTTCCTTCCCTCAGTTTCGTGGCAAATGGAAAAAGAAAACAACAACAACAACAAAAAACAACAACACAACAAAACTTTGAACGAGTTGGCGTGGTCTCCGGCTAGGAGCGGGCAGCAGGAGCTCGGAGCGCTGGAGCCCGGTGGGGCCCGCCCGGCATCTGTGAAAACCGGGGCGCACTCCCGATACCCGCTTCCCACCGTCTCTCCTGGCCAGTCCAAGGGCGATCCAGTTTAAGAAAAAAAAAAAAAAAATCCACAAACAAAAAGAAACAATTTCAATAAAAATAAAACCGCCTTCTCGCCCCGTTCCCACGCGGCAGCCTCTCAATTCGCGGCGGGAAATCCTGCGCATTATTACTTTTTTCTTCACTTCTCTTGAAGCTTAAAACAAGACTGTCCCCGGGAAGTCGTCGCTGCGACTTGGTGCATAGAGAAAGCAGCGTGGTGTCCCGCCCACGCCGCGGGCGGCCCACCCCTCCCCCCGTGGAGCATAGTGGGGCAGCAGGACCGAACGCGGGAAGGGGCGTCTTGGCCTCATCTCTGGAAACGCCGGTAGCAGGGTGGGGGCAGGCGGGCAGGCAAGGGCCGGGCCCCTCCGAGCGAGCAACACATGCTGGGACACGGGGACCTGGGGACCCAGCCGGGGAAGGCGGGGGTGCTCGGGGGGTTTCTAGTCACCGAGCAAAATAAATACTCCAGAAAGAGCGCTTGAAAAAGGGGGCGGACAATCGGGCCGCGGGGGACGGGACACGAGAACCGAGGAGGGGCAGGCGCAGGCTCTCGGCGGGCAGGGGCGCAGGTCGCAGCGGAGGGCCGCGGCCGCCAGTATGTACAAGTGGACGCCTTTCAGGAAGCGAGGCCTGACTCGACTTCCCTGGAAAACCACCGAGCTGTGCGTGCACAGGCGCCGCAGCCTCGTCGCGACTCTGCGGAGACGCGCGGTCCCTGGCCGGGCAGCGAGGCGGCC